CACCCGCGGCGCGGGAATTGCCGCACAAAGTCGCTGGGCGCGCACCGCTGGGCAGCACAACAAGTCTCAGTAGGGGAGGCCGCTCAGCTGGTGGGCTGGCAGCACAGCTCCGCGCCCGGATGGACTGGGAGCTTGGCGCGCACCGGATCAGCGCGGGAATTGCCGCACAAAGTCGCTGGGCGCGCACCGCTGGGCACGGGCACAAGTCTCAGTAGGGGAGGCCGCTCAGCTGGTGGGCTGGCAGCACAGCTCCGCGCCCGGATGGACTGGGAGCTTGGCGCACAGCACCGGATCCCGGGGTCTCTGGCTCCTGACACAGCCTGGTGTGCTCCATCCCCCACGGAGAAGTGGGGAAGCCACTTCCAAATCTGCCCAGTGGGGCACACCCCAACACTCTGCACGGGCCTACAGCAGAGCCCCCGCCCCCCACTCCTCCACCTCCAGGAGAGGCACTTCTGAGGAAGGGGCGGAGGCTAGCAGGGCCTGGTCCATGTCCACCACAGGAATCCCAGGACCAGGCCTGGTGTGCGGGGGTCCTGCCACGAGGCCCCCCAGGGGCCCTCCATTGTTCTGATGCGGACCCCTGGTTCTCATGGCAAAACAAAAAAACCAGCCCTCCCCACGAACCCCCTCCACCCTACTGAGCAAGGGCGCATACTGGCCTCTCACAGAACCCCAAAGTCCTCCTTACCCACCCCTGAGACCGCACAGAACACTGCGCTGGGGGGCGGAGGGGGAAATCTCAGACCCACCACCCGTCAGACATGTGGTCAGTCTCCACTCTCCCCACCCGCCTGGGGGACCCGGTGACCCCCAAAGCCAGCCATTGCTAGTTGTCCAGGGTCAGGATGGTCTAACTCCCCTCCCCAAAATGCCAGCAGGAACACCAAGGAAGGCACAGACTATGTCTTGAAGCCACAGGCATAAAGCTATTGGGACATCACAGAAAAAAAAGATGAGTTTAAAAGGATAGCAAGGAAATGGATATGGGATATCTGCGACCCGTAGTCACTGCACACACACACACACACACACACACACACACACACACCCCTGCCACCACCGCGGCGGAGAGAGGCTTGGGCAGGTTAAGGGGCTTGCACTCAGGGCGACAGACGGGACCCGTGGGCAGGGGGCCCTCCCGGCAGAGCACGCGGTAGAGGAACTGGAGGATAGAAAGGCAGGGGGACAGGAACCGCCGCCGCTCGGACGCTGCCCCGCGTGCAGACGCAGAAGGCAGCGGGGTGATGAGGGG